GGCGGGGTCGCGCCAACTGTGCACATACAGTCAAGACGCTGAAGGAAGGACTGTTTTGGGCTAAGTCGGTGTCTCTGGTTTTCGGGCCGTTCCTCAGATCTGGGTCTGGGAAACAACCCATTCGTGGCCGAGGCTCGCCGTGGCCAAGAAACGCCCCTTCGCTCCTCGCTCGGCGTTGCCATCCTGGGCCCAGTCTTGGCGCACGTGCCTCGGCCCCCCGGGGCCAGAAGAGACGCGCGCACGGACGATTCCGGGCCCGGCCCTTGCAGGGGGGGGGGCGCCGCGTCTCCGCGCGGCGTCACCGCCGCCACTGTCGCTGACGCCGCCGCCGCCAGGAGAAGAAGGCCCGCCTGCGCGCGCTGCGCGCCGCCCGGCTGGCGGCCGCGGCGAAGCGCGCGCGCGGCATGGGCGGCGGGGGAGCGCTCGCGGCCGGGCAGTTGCCAGCAGGCGCCGGGTGCCGCCGCCATCCGCTGGCGGCGTCGGGCGTCGCCGGGTCGTGGTGATCTCGTGTGTTTTGGTGCGCGTTTCGCGGGGCTGCGACGGCTGCGGTGTCGGCAGGCTCTCTGAGCGGGTCGTCGTCGCCGCCCTCTTCTTCCACCGCCCCATCAGTATGCTATCGTTCCTGCCTCTCCGACTCCTGCCGAGTCTGCTGCTTCTCCTTCTCTTTACTCCCCGTCTTCCTCGTCCACGTCGTCCTCGTCTTCGCACCCACGTCTTTTTCTTTATCCGTCCGGCTGCTGGCGCTGCTGCTCCTGCTAGCGTCCCTGCTGCTACCCCTTCTGCTCCACATGCTGCTGCTGCTGCTCTTCGTCCTCCTGCGTTTGATCACCCTCCTTTTCCTGCACTCCTCTCTCTCTCTCTCTTCGTCCTCGTCCTCGTCCACCTCTTTGCGTCCTCCTTTTCGTTTTCCTCCCCCTCCTCCTCCACCTCCTCCTCCTCCTCCTCCTCCTCCTCTTCCTCCTCCTCCTCCTCATCATCATCATCATAATCATCATGGGCATGGAGCTGGCAAGGCAGGTTTTGGCAGTGTGAGCGTTGTTTCCGTGGTTCCAGGGCCGACCAAAAGCCTCCTCCTGGTTGTTGTCAAGGTGGCCCTGGGATCGGAATCCGTGGTTTTGACGGGCCCCGCCTCCTTTCCCTAGGGCATTCGATGGTGTTCCTCGACTGCTCAGACAACTCTTCTCTGTTTGCTTGTTGCCGCTGCAAGTACTACACGTGCGGCGGACAAGTGCGTGGATTGCGCAATGTATGCCGACCCCTTCCCCAAAGCGGGGCCCAAGGGAGGAAGCATTCATGGAACCGAGTCTCCACGGGTTGGCATCCCAAGCTTGACGGTGTTACAGTTGACGTTGGGCCCTGGTTGATATCCCCCGATGAGTGATCGATTCCCTTTTCCCCCTCTCCTTCTGTGACCCTCTCGTTGTTGTTTTCCCCTTTGCCGTGGATGTTAAAAAATCCTCATCTTCTCCTCCTCCTCTTATGATCCTCCTCCTCCTCCTCTTCTCCTCCTCCTCCTGGCCGCTGTTCTGGTTGTAGCAACGGTTCGGATCTTAACATGCGACCAACCGGTTCTCCTCACTGAACCATTCGCCAGCGGGCGTCGCTGGTAACTGCAACAGACGCCATGGGCCGCCTGTACTGCCTCTTCCTGCTTACGACGCCGCTCTGTCGCACCCGTCAGAGTTCCGCTGGCCCTTCGTGGAAGCTCATTCAACCCAATCTTTTGGCGTCTGCACGTGATGACCGTATTGGTGATGTATGCAGGACGTTCCAGGTGTGGAGGCAGTGGCCATCACGGGCGCCCTGCTGAAGGCCAGGGAAATGGACATGCAGCGTCGCCGAGTACACGGGCGTCTGCTCCTGGAGGCTAGATGGAAACGGTAGCCAAACTCCAACAAGGCGTGCGGGGAGTCCGTACTTCTAACATCAACGCTTTAGCGACGTTCGTGTTGTCCGAGGTGCGAAGGGCTCGGCTGGGCGGTGTTTGGCTGTGCGAATTCGCACACGGACGGGAGACTCCACGATATTGGCGCAGTACTACCTTTCCCAAGGTGACGGCGACGAAGGAGCAGACTGCCTACAATCGGGCGGTTCGAGCCATGACCCAAGGGCTCTCTCGTGAGCTCGCGGCTTGTCCGTCCAGATCGGTCCCAGTCGTGTGCGACCTTAACGATGGATTGGGGCTGATGCAGAGCGACGACATGATTGTGGTCGACGGAGATGTGGTGTTCCTTCCTGGTGCCAGTTTAGAGCATTTCGCTGGCGCGGCGTTTCGAGAAGTCTCGCAGAGTCATTGCATGAAGGCGGTGACGACGAAGTGCGAACCTCCCCACCTTCTTCGGGACAGGCTCGAAGTCGATCCTGGATTATGTGTGTTCCGTAGTCTATGCAGGGGGCGGCGCGCGTGACAGGCGCGCTCATGGGTAATGGGCGCAAGCTTCAGCTCATCAGCGTGGCCGACAAGCGTGGTCATCGACCGGCACGCGTAGAAGTGGCGCGTCTTTCTTCTGCGCGACAGCAACAGCAGACCAGCCATCAGTTGCAGCATTTAGACAATCGGATACTGCGCCCAGATGCGATGATGGCAGCACTAAGGGGAGGGGAGGGCTCGTGCGACTCCTTGGGTAGCGTGGATGGGGCGGATGGAGGAGCAGCAGCAGGAGCGGATGATTCTGGCATCGCATGACTCTCCTGGCCGCTTGTTTTTTCTTGAGCGGACTATGCAGGATGTTGCGCGCCCTCGCGAAAGCGTCTCAGAGTGTGCCGGGCAGATGTGAGCTCGAAGGAGCCCGTTCCATGTTGCTGTGGCGTCGCCAGGAGCCCCAGGTGTTCCCGGAGGGCGCGTCGTCGGAGGCCTTCGAGGCTTCGTCGGGGAAAGTTTGCCAGCTCACTCGGACGCCGCGGCGCATGGCCCGCGAGGCCTTCAATCAGCGTCGCGACGAGTACATCGAGCACTTGCGCGATGCCTGGGGAGGGGGGCAGAAGCATTCGCGAAGCTGTTTCCCTTGCGAGATCGGCGGGGGGGGGGCGCAGATCGCCCCCCCCCTCCCCCCTCCCGAGAAAGCGAAAAAACGCGCGAGCTGCAGGAGGTTCGCGCCGCGCGGCCGACGCGCGAGGAATCGGTGCAGTTCTGGGCGGGGCCTGGGCTCCGGGCAAGGGCGGGGGCGGCGGGGCTGGGCGGGCGGGGGGGATTTTCCGCGCTCGCGAGGTTACGTCGCCCCGTTCTGTTTACGTGAGGCTGAGCATGTAAACGATGGACTGGGGCCTGTTTGTAAGCTGTTTCGTAGGGTAAGTAGGCGACGAGTTGCCCCGGGTTTGTCAGCCCGCGCGGCAGCCATGGGATATGGCCCTGAATCCCAGGTCAGGGACTCCTGCTAAGATGCAGGGTGGAGTCGCGGGGTCCCGGGCCCAGCGCGACCCGTTTGTTCTTGGCCAGGGCAGTGCGCAGAGGGTCTGCGAATCAGGTCGCCCTTGCACGCTCTGAGCGTTTGGCGCTGCAGTCGGGCGGGCGGGCTCAGGAAGTCTGATGCTGGGGGCCCGGCTAACAACAGATGGGCGCGCACGTTGCCCTCGCCCGGTGAAGCGCGGCATTCTGCTCGCGCGAGGCGGTCGACTATTGGCCCAGGTGCGCGCGACTATCAGCCTGGCAGGTGCAAAAGTGCCCCCGTACCTGTCTCGTTTATCTTCGCGTGGAGGGCTTAGAGTGAGGGGCGCTCTTTCTTTGGGCAGTATCTCGATGCTACTGGCGCGTTCGGGGGCGCGTCTCAGCGTCGGGTAATGTTGGCGGCTTTTTGTTTGTTTTGCAGGGGTGTTGTGCCCATTGGGCTCCAGAGGGTGGATGAGGCTACCATCTCTCTGCCGCGTGAATTTGGGTCGGTTCTTCTGCGGCCTGGCTGTGGAGGGATGGCGGGGGGGCCCGTTATGGGCGGCGGCGCGGGCAAGGGCGGCCCCGCCGCGCGCTGCGCAGCGGCGCCAGCTGGCGGTCATGAGCCCCTGCGACCCTTCCCCGATCGACCTTGCGCTGCGCCAGTATGCCGATGATGTCGAGCTTTCCAAATGGGAGGGCCGAGGGGGCGCGCGGCCCCCCATGTCTCGAGAGAGCAGCGAGCTCCCGACGCGTTGTCGGCGGCGATGGCCGAAGAGAACTGCGCACATATTGCCAAGAAACAGAGGAGTTTGATGCGCCTGGTCGGTCCAGGCGCTCACTTAGATGCGCGTGGCATTCGCCTTGGGAGATTGGCGGCCCCTGAGGGAGTGCGCCATCGGGTCAGATATCTTCGCGACCAAGTCGTTGCGGGCCCGGGGCCGGCCTGGGCTTGTGCTCCAGAGCTAAGAGCCCGGGACGCGGCCGCATTGGAAGTTTTTTGCTCCCTGGGAGGTTTCTGACATTCAAAGTGGCGTCGCGTCAATTGGGGCGATCTATGCTTCTGTCTTTTATCGTAGGCACAGCAGCTCAGAATCTGGGGGCCTACCTTCCGTCCGTCTGCCAGCTGGCAGAACTGTGGCGCGTTGTAGATCAGCGGGCGCGGAGGGCGCTGCGCTGCTTGGCGCGCGCCGAGGTTGATGGCATTTACTCGTCGCGGTCGAAATAGCGCGTCAAGAAGTATGGGGGCTGTGCTCGCTCGAGGTTGATCGCAGGATTAGACGCTTGAAGAGACAGCAGGAGATCTCGGAACGTCCCGATGGGGCATGGGCAATGATCGCGCCGCGCGTTGGGCCATGGGTTGGGGCGGGGGGGGGGGCGATGACCGAGGGCGGAGGGCTGCTCGGACTGCGAATCCGTGGACTCGAAGGGTATCGGGGGGCTCGAAAGCCCTGCTCGTCGTCGAGGATGCGGAGTGGTTCTCGTCGGAGCTTCGAATTGCTGTCGAAACGGATCCAGCGCGCGATGCTCGCGCTTGCCCTGGCGATCTAGTTCTCGACGCGGAGGCTAGGGGGGGGGTCTCGGACAGTTGACGCTGGCATCTTGAGGGCCCAAGACGCTCAGACACCACGGGTGGATCGCGAGGGGGGGGCGCGGCCGAGGGGGGGGGGAGGGGGGGGAGGCGCCGGGCCTTGGAAGTGTTTCGTCAATCCAGAGCACGCCCTGGGAGCGCCGTTCGGCGCTGTTCGCCCTGGGCAGAGCCTTGTCGACTCAGCTTCCATGTGTGCGTCGTGGAACAGATGTGCGTGCTTCAGTGGTGGCGACGAATCAGAGCCCGTGCTGTGGCGATGTATTCTCCTGGCATCAAGCTGCCAATAACCGCCATGTAATACGTCGGGGGGCAAGGCCAGACGGAGCGACTCGAGTTCGGCATCTCGGCCCCGTCGTTCAGCCCGCGTCTCTCGATTGTCCGTCGCGCGCGTGCTCGGCCCAAGATCTATATGATCTGCGTCGGCATGTCGTTGTCAACGCCCTCTCGCGCGCCCGTGGCTGTCGAGGGGCCGAGGTGGGCGCTCGAGCGCGGGGGCGAAATTTTGCGGGGGGGAGAGCGCAAGAAGCTGCTGGCAGAGCTGGGAGCGGGGGTCGGAGCAGGCGCCGAGGTCCAGCTGCTAGAGAGGATGGGCAAGGTCCAGGCGGCCCCGGCGATGGCGTGAGGCCGCCGAGCTCCGCGATCTCATCGCGGCCGTGCATGTCGCGTTCCTCGCCCGCGTCGTCGATTGCGGAGGCAATGAAGGAGGCGAGCAGGGGCTGCCACGCGCGCGCGAAGCGCAACAGAGACAGTGGGGAAACGGCGCAGCAGGTTCTGGAGGCCACGACATATTGGGCCATCATGTCCCCGCGTGTTCAAGGCCATGATCAAGGCCGCGCGCGGCGTCGCAGGCTTGCCCTAAAAGAGCAAGGCGGTCTCCGAAACTTGCTGGGCGCAGCATGCTCTCCAGCAAAACCTTCGGGATCTGTCGCGGCAGATTCGCCGCTGTCGCATCGAAGACGCGCGCAATGAGGGGCCCCAGGCCGAGGCGACGCGCATCGCGCTGTGCTTGGGGACCCCGCGGGCGGAGCATGAGGGCGCAGTGGCGGAAACGCTGAAGAAAGAGAGCGGCATCCTGGAGACGGGGCCTCCTCCTCGGAGGGCACTCGAGCGGGGGGGCCCGGAGCCGCTCGAGGAACCCAACAAAAGAGGGTGCGGAGAGAGATCGGTCGCACGGAGTCATAGGTGAGGAGGTCGGCTGCTCGGCTAGACGTTTTTGCTTCGCGAATGGCCGAGATCCTGTTGAGTTTTTGTTTGGCGGGGTCGCCCAGGTGCTGCGCTATTTTCTGAGAGGCATCGCGAAGGTCACTCCTAGGCCTCGAGCTGTCGGCAAAGGAAATGGGCGGGGGCTGGGGGCGGCGGAGTCGGGGCGGGGGGCGGTGGGATGACTGCAGCATGGCTGGCGGCTTGTGCTATCGAGCCCAAGCGTGGGCCGTGCATGAGCCGCAGCGCTCGCAGGCCAGTCACTGGGCGCCCATTGCATGGCGCTTGTCGATCGGTTCACTGGCGTGCGCTGCGCGTCCCACCGATGCTGCGTGACGCAAACACCAGCTCGTCGTCGTCGTCGGCGTTGTCGTCCGTCGTCGTCGTCGTCTTCGTCTTCCATCGTCGTCGTCGTCCGTCGTCGTCGTCGTCGTCGTTGTCGTCTCCGTCGTCCGTCGTCCTTCGTCCGTCGTCGTCGTCGTCGTCGTCGTCGTCGTCCGTCGTCGTCGTCGTCGTCTTCGTCGTTTGTCCGCCGTCGTCGTCATCGTTGTTGTCGTCGTTTTCATCGGCCGTCGTCGTCCGTCGTCGTCGTCGCTATTGTCGTCGTCGTTGCCGCCGCCGTCGTCGTCGTTGTCGTCGTCGTCGACCGTCGTCGTCGTCGTCGTCGTCGTCGACGTCGTCCGTCGTGATCTTCGTCGCCGTCGTCGTCGTCGTCGTCATCGTCGTCATCGTCATCGTCCGTCGTTCGTCGTCATCGTCGTCGTCGTCCGTCGTCTTTTTTGTTGCCGTGGTCGTCGTCGTCGTCGTCCGTCGTCGTCGTCGTCGTCCGTTGTCCGGCGTCGTCGCTGTCGTCATCGTCGCTGTCGTCGTCGTCGTCGTCCGTCGTCCATCGTCGTCGTCGTCGTCATCATCATCGTCGTCGTCATCGTCGTCGTCCGTCGTCGTCGTCGTATTTGTCGGTCGTCGTCGTCGTTGTCGTCGTCGTTGTTGTCCGTCGTCGTCCGTCGTCGTCGTCGTCGTCGTCGTCGTCGTCGTCGTCGTCTGCGTCGTCGTCGTCTTTGTCGTTGTCGTCGTCCCGTCGTCGTCGTCGTCGTCGTCGTCATCGTCGTCGTCGTCGTCGTCGTCGTATTTGTCGGTCGTCGTCGTCGTTGTCGTCGTCGTTGTTGTCCGTCGTCGTCCGTCGTCGTCGTCGTCGTCGTCGTCGTCGTCGTCGTCGTCTGCGTCGTCGTCGTCTTTGTCGTTGTCGTCGCCCGTCGTTTGTCGTCCGTCGTCGTCATCGTCGTCGTCGTCGTCGCTTTCGTCGACGTCGTCCGTTGTCGTCGTCGTCCTCGTCGTCGTCGTCGTCGTTGTCGTCCGTCGTCCGTCGTCGTCATCGTCGTCGTCGTCCGTCGTCCGTCGTCGTCGTCGTCGTCTGCGTCGTCGTCGTCGTCGTTGTCCGCCGCCTCCGCCGCCGCCGTCGTCGTCTTCGCAGTCGTCCGTCGTCGTCGTCGTCGTCGTCGTCGTCGTCGTCGTCGTCGTCCGTCGTCGTCGTCCGTCGTCGTCGTCGTCGTCATCGTCGTGGTCGTGGTTGTCTCATCGACGCCGTCCGTCGTTCGTCGTCCTCGTCATCTTCGTCCGTCGTCCATCGTCGTCGTCGTCGTCCGCCGGTTTCCGTCCGCCGTCGTCGTCGTCGACGTCGTTGTCGTCGTCCGTCGACCGTCGTCGTCGTCCGTCGTCGTCGTCTGCGTCGTCGCTGTCGGCGTCGACATCGTCCGTCGTTCGTCGTCGTCGTCGTCGTTGTCGTCGGCGTCGTCGTTGTCCGTTGTCGTCGTCGTCGGCGTCGTCGTTGTCTTCATTGGCAGTCGCCGTCGTCGTCGTCGTCGTCGTCGTCGTCATCGTCCGTCGTCGTCCTCGTCGTCGTCATGGTCGTCGTCGTCGTCGTCATCGTCGTTGTCCGTCGTCCATCGTCTTCGTCGTCGTTGTCGTCGTCACTGTCGTCGTCGTCGTTGTCGTCCGTCGTCCGTCGTTTTCGTCGTCGTCGTCATCTTCGTCCGTCGTCCTCGTCGTCGTCGTCGTCGTTGTCGTCCGCCGTCTGTCGTCCGTCGTCGTTGTCGTCGTCATCGTCGTCATCCGTCGTCGTCGTTTTATTCGTCGTCGTCGTCCGTCGTCGTCGTTGTCATCGTTGTCGTCGTCGTCATCGTTGTCGTCGTCTCCGTCGCCGTCGTCGTCTTCGTCGTCGTCGTCGTCCGTCGCCGCCACCGTCGTCGTTCGTTGTCCGTCATCTCTCGTCGTCGCGCTCGTCGCCATCGTATTCGTCGTCGTCGTTGCCCCCCGATTCCCCTCCTTCTCCTCCGCTTCCTCCTCCCTCTCCCTCCTCCATCCCTCTTCCTTGTAAATAATTCCCTCCGGTCGCACCCCGAGACGCGTTGGTCGGGCGGGCCGGGCATTTCGCTTGAGACGTCCTCACTGGTTGTGATCCCTCAGCGTAGAAGCTTGCAACAGTTTCACGGATGGAGTGTGGTTGGCTTTCAAAACGTGCCTTTCGCTTTAGCGCGCCACGCGCATTTGTCTGAAAAGCTTGTATTCACGGGTGGAGGGTGGGCGGTTTTCAAAATGTGACTGTCGCCCCAACGCCGCGCGCATTTGTTTCAAACATATGCAAGAGCTTCGCGGATGGAGGGTGGTTCCTCTTCAACACGTGGCTCTCGCCTTACCGTTGCGCGCATTCCCCTGAAGAGTTTCCAACAGTTTCCAGGATGCTTTTGGCTGGCGTCACAGAAATGGCTGGCGTGTAGGATTGCCACGCGCAACAGTCACGTTGATTCGCGGTGTTGAAGTCCCAGGAATGATGTTCTGTCACGACTCAGGACCGTCAGGACGAATAATAGCGTGGACTTGCAGCGTCGACGTCTCAGGAACGGTGTTTTGGCCCGTTTCAGGATTATTAGACGGTTGTCTGTCAACGGGTCAGTTCCATGGGTGAAAATGAATCGTTGTAGGGGCATTTTAAGAGGGACCGTTGAGGGAGGGCTTAGTGCAACATAGGCGATGAGTCTTGGGACCCAGGATTCATCGCCAGTGTTGCACCAAGCCACGCGCAAGCCCAAGACTCTTGGGTTTGCGCTGCTCCTCTCCTCCTCCCCCCCTCCCCCTCCTCCTCCTGCATCCCCTCCCCCTTCTCCCCCTCGAGGAGGGGTGGAAGGAACGGGAGAGAGCGAGCGCAGCGCGCCGCTCGCCGCCGGGCGTCGCCGTCGCCGGAGGCTTCCAGCTGGCGCCCGAGCGCCGGCCGGCGCCTGCCAGCGGCCAGGCAGCCCTGGCCCCTGCGGGCACGGCCGCGGTGGCGGCTGCGCCGCCTGCGGGGGAGACTCGCTCGCCGCGTCGTCTGGGCCGCCCTGAAGAATGTTTGAAGCTTCGAGGCTCGAGGTTTTTGAGGTTTTCGGCCGTTTCCGTCGTCTCTCTGCGGTTGTCCAGCCTCTGAGCGGCCTCCAGAAGCTGCGCTTCGCCGAGAGCGTTTCGGAGATTCCTGCATCGTCTCGTGCGGCCGCCGGAGAGTGGCGTTATGACCCGGAAACAGCAGGAGGAGGAGGAGGAGGAGGAGGAGGAGGAGGAGGAGGTGCAGGAGGAGGATCACTGACCAAATTGCCAGGTTTGCGAGCGGGCCGCCTTCGAACAGTCCCTGTACCGAGGAGGGCACCCTGCTGCGTTTGGTTGCTAACGAGGGCGCGCCCTGGCGAGCAACCCACACTGGGACTGTGCAGGTTTGGCGCCCTGCACTAAGCCGTGCCGGGGCCAGGGCCGCGGCGCTTCCCTCGTGGTCGCTTCTTTGGGTTTTCAGAGAGGCCCTCGTCGCCACGGCTGTGTTCGCGTCGAAACCCTGGTCAAAACGCACCCTTGGAGAAGTCAGGGTACTTGCGCTGTCGGTATGAGTTGGTGCCCCCCCCCCCCAAGAAAGCATTCGAGGTTGCAGGGTGTCGGGCGTTTTCGCGGGCTGTCAGTGGTTTTCCAGCCTCGGGGTGCTCTCCAGCGGCTGCGCCTCGCCGAGGGCGTCAAGGGGGCAACGCTAGGGGTGTATAGGCTCAAAGGTGATGCATCGACCCCAACCGTCTATTGATCTCCAGTTAGGCCCTGATGGCCCACTCCCACCCATATCTTCGTCGTCGTCGTTGTGTTTTTCATATTCGTCGTTGTCTTTTTTTTGTGGACGTCGTCGTCTTTTTCGTCGTCGTCGTCGTCGTCGGCCGCTGGCGCTCAGAAGCGGAACGCGCATTTTCGTCTCTGCGACCACTGGCGAGATCGTACCCCCTGTCTGGCTGCAGGGATCCTTCGAATTATTTCGAGTCCACTGCGCTCACAGTAGCGCGGTAGCTTAGTCGCTTCACGATTGCGCCACAGAGCTTGTCATCATGCTGCTGTGTCCGCTCCCCGTCCTCTCCTACAGAATCTGGCTTAGAAAAAGAAGGAATCCCTCGAATTCTGGACCACCCAGCTGGTTCTTCAGAAATCTGATCTGCAGGAGCAGGTTCCGCTTGCCTATCTTCATCGTCCCAGTTTTTGTCCCCACCCACCAGGTTGGGGTTGTTAGGTTTAGGGGCGGGAGCTCCCGATCCGCCTCGCATAGCCAGCATGCCGCGGCCCCGAGGCCCCAAGGGTCCCTCTTTTTTTTGGGCGTCCCGCTTCAAACATTCGACGAATGACGATTGCACGCCGCGGCCGCCATTGTCGTCTGGGGATTCGAAGTATTTCTTGTGTTCGTTTGTTGCTGTGCCCTGTGGCGGCACAGCTGGTACGAGGGTGAAAAGCAGGCTTAGTTTTTTGGGGTACCCTTGTGCTTGTCGTGTCGGGGCTCTACACCTTGGACCGCTCGTCGTTCAGGGTATCTCCATGGTGACCTGGGCCCTCTACGAAAAGGCTCATGCTTTCGACTTCCGTTCTTGTGGTGATGCCTCGACTGTCACGGGCGCTACCAGGGCGTTGGCTGACCGGGTTTTCCGGGTGTTTGCCCCGTGGCCGCCCGTTGCCACCTCGAGGCCGCCATTGTGCCTGGCTGAGGCCCGTGGCCGCCCCGTCGCCTCATAGCTTGCGCCACATAGCTTGCACAATATAGCTTGTGCCACATGGCTTGCACCGCGTGGCGTGCACCACATGGCTTGCGCCACGTAGCTTACACATCCAAGTTGCAAGTGCGCGGTGCTTGAGGCCCATGCCTGCAAACATGAGATCTGGTCAGGGGATCCGAGGTGATTTTGAAAAGGACTTATACCCCATCTCATCCTTTACCCCTCACCCCTCCTCGTCCTCGTCTCCCGTGTCCTCTATCTATACATATACATATACATATATACATATACATATATAAATAAATATATATATATATATATAGATCTATCCCTGCTGTAAGAGACACAATGGTCCAGCAGGCGCTACGCAGAGCGGGCCATGAACTTAACGATTGTGCTCAAGAGGAGAAACAGCGAACGAATTACAACCAATGCGTGTGATGTGACCGGCGGCAGGCGTGCACAACAACTCTTATTAGCATGCGAACGTTATTGATAAACCTCGTGCATGCATGCTAAAACACACCATTTGCGGCACTTGCATCCAATGGGGATTGTGCCTAATATAGAAGAACTGAGACATCTGCCCTTACCAACGGATTATGTTGTGGACGACGTGTCCCTGTACGCGTCCGTGCTCAGCATTTCGCAGGGCTCTTTGATGGCAATTCCGCAAGCAAACACGACTGACGAGGTGTACTGGTGACCATTCGCAGCGCCGCGCAACATGACCCATGAACTTGTATGTGCGCTTCGGCGCTACAATATCAAGATCAAGAAAGGAGTGCGCAAGACAATGAGCCTTCAGATTCCGACGCCGGCGGCGATGGTAAGATTCGGCACTCTCGCCCATAACACGGGGTTCCCGGAAATGCGCCAGCATCATTTCCCTCTGAACGCCCCGCAATTTTGTGGCATGTTGTTTGGTGATCATCCACAGCCTGGCGCTCCAGGTAGCAGTTGCCATGCAAACTCTTTGAATCAAGTCCATTCTCTGTGACCGGTTGCTGCTCTGTGCCTTGAGAATATCTTTGATACCATGCGTGCCCCCTCTGGTAGCTTTCATTTTTTGCTGAATGTCGTTGTGCGTTTGCCCTTTGGCCGTAATCCAAACACCAAGGCATTTCAATGAGCCCTCGTATCCGGCCCATTCTGTCCCTGGCCAAGACAGTGCGCCAACAGAAGTATTACTGGATATTCACTTGACCGCCTCAAGAGGGAAAGAATTACGCTACCGAAGAACCCCACATACTGCTTTTGTGTCGTGTGTGTTCATACACCATGCCCCATGCCACATCCTGCCCTTTCCGAAACTTCAGTGCGAATGTTTTTCACGCTCCTCCTCCACGGTGGCGTCGAGGACGGATGGATGGATGAACGCACCCCCTATGGTGTCGAGGAAGTGCCACGCCTGCCACGCTTTGCAAGCCCGGGGCGGATGGGGAGACCACCCCCAACGCACCCCCTGTGGTGTCGAGGAAGTGCCACGCCTACCACGCTTTGCGAAGGCCGAAAATGGATATGGAGACCACCCTCAGCGCACCCCCTGTGGTGTCGAGGAAGTGCCACGCCTGCCACGCTTTGCGAGTCCGAAACGGAAAGGGCAAACCACCCCCAGCGCACCCCCTGTGGTGTCGAGGAAGTGCCACGCCTGCCACGCTTTGCGAGTCCGAAACGGAAAGGGCAAACCACCCCCAGCGTTCCCTATGTGGTGGCGAGGAAGTGCCACGCCTACTACGCATTGCGATGCCGAAACGGATAGGGAGACCACCCCTAGCGCACCCTCTGTTGTGTCGAGGAGAAGCCACGCCTGACACGCTTTGCGAGGCCAAAACGGATAGGCTGACCACCCCCAACGCACCCCCTGTGGTGTCGACGAGAAGCCACGCTTGACACGCCTTGCCAGTCCGAAACGGATAGGGCAAACCACCCACAGCGCACCTTACCACGCATTGCGAGGCCGAAACGGATAGGGAGACCACCCCCAGCGCACCCCCTTGTGGTGTCGAGGAAGTGCCACGTCTGCCATGCTTTGCGAGCCCGAAACGGATAGGGTGACCACCCCCAGCGCACCCCTTGTGGGGTCGCCACGCTTGCCACGCTTTGCGAGCCCGAATCGGATTGGAGACCACCCCCAGCGCTCCCCGTGTGGTGTCGAGGAAGTGCCACGCCTGCCACGCTTTGCGTGCCCGAAACGGATAGGGTGACCACCACCAGCGCACCCCTTGTGGGGTCGCCACGCTTGCCACGCTGTGCGAGCCCGAAACGGATAGGAGACCACCCCCAGCGTTCCCCTTGTGGTGTCGAGGAAGTGGAAGAGGGGAAGAGGAGGAGGGGAGAAGAGGAGGAGAGGAGGAGGGAGGTGAGGTGTGAGCGTCGCGGGTGCGACGCGGGAGGGAAGAAAACCATAACCCCACTAAGCATGTGGGGAACAAAATGTCTGTTAAACGCGTTTGCCAACAAATCGAGTATGATCCGAGCATCCCTGACCGTGTGAGCCATAATGAAAACATTGCCTGAAAAGAGGACGAGTGGGACCGTCGGTGCCCGACATCTCCGCCAGTTCCGCTGCAGGCGAGCTGAGCAAGGCAAGATATCTCGAAGTACCACTCCCAATTGTCGCTCCTGACACTCCTCCCAGACTCCCATCAGGCAGAATTCAAGAATCAATGCAACAACAGCTGGTCCCCAACGTGTGCCTTGAGGGATCGATTTTGTGATGCTTGCTGTCCTTGCGACGCATTCCTAGATTTTCACTCTGTGCGAAATACAACGTATATGTCGTAGGAACCACTAGATCTCATTCTCATCCACCTGTCTTGCATGAAGTGCGCTGTTATATATATATATATATATATATATGTGTGCACGTGTTTTACGCTGTCAAACGCTTTGTGAATGTCACCGCTTCCAAGAACAAATGCTTGCCCAGTATGCAAACACATCTGGGCAACTAGCATGATGACCAATATTGCATCGATGACCGAATGATGTGCACGATAAGCGAATTGGAAGGGATTCTGAGGCGCAATGTTGGGTCGAGCAGCAGTCCCCCGAGACACTGGGGCAAACGAGGAAGGACTGCAATAGGCCGAAATCGATCGAACCGTCAGACAACGGCATCCTTCGGAATTGGAATCAGATCAGCTTCACACTCGTGCTGTTCTGGAGACGCGCCGCGAAGATCATCCTCCAGAATTTGCCGTATGGTCTCCAGAGGGTGGTCGAAGACTCCACCGGCAGTCTCAACCTGCGCCAGGTAGCAATGGCTGCACGCAGGACCGTCCACACAGCATCGTTCGCA